ACCATAAACGAGCCATTACAAGGTGAATGTAACGTTATTACAGTTGTAGATTAGGACAAGATAGATAGAATTTGTAAGAAAATGTGTAGTGTGTCATCATGGGACAAAATATGGGACATTTATGATTTATATGAAATAAACCCCCAACCGTCCCACCTAAACCCGGGGGCGGTTTCATGAACATGTTCGGTAACATTAACGAACACATTCACAAACATGTTCGTTCACGTTCGTGAATGCTTAATAACCAAACATATGAACATGTTAATGATCAAAATTCGTTCGTGAACAAGAAATAATATATGTTCACTAAAAATAACCAAACAAGTAACACACCTACAAAGAAAATACAAACAAATATTAAACAAACACAAACGAGCTTGTTCACAAACATTATTAAACAAACACTAAACGAGCTTGTTCGCAAACATTATTAAACGAACACAAACGAGCTTGTTCACGATCTTTTAGCAAACGAGCTTACAACTGTTCAGACTCTGTTCGTTTATAAATCGAGCTCTAAATTTTGTTTGTTAATGTTCGTTTCAGGCCCGGATTTTGGCTGTGCAAGCTGGGCTACCGCACAGGGGCCCAAATTTTAGAGAGGTCCCAAATTTTAGAAGCTCAATATTTTATTATTACCTAGATAGTTTAGAAATAAAAATTAAAAGTTTTTAATTAAAACTAAAAGGCTTTATAAAAAAAATGGTAGGAACATGTATTTATTGTATTTTAACTTTGAGATCTAAGGTTCAAAACTTGTGCACACTATTATTATTATTCCATAATATGTCTATTTTTATTTGTGCGTTGCACGGAAAAGATTTGCTATAATCTTTAAATTATAACAACGAATATTATATATTGCAATTGATGAAATAGGTTGTATCGATTATGTTTTTTTATGTTATCCTTGCTTGAATTCGAATAAATAATTGCCCAATTATCCGTGCAGTGTGCGTGCAATGTGCGTGCGATGCATGGATAATTTTTTTGTGTTATATATTTTGATAATAAAATTACGGTATTAGTTTTAAAGATTTTAATTTTGGTAGGGCCTTATTTATTTATTCGAACAGGGCCACAAAAAATCAAAAACCGGACCGGCCCTGGTTCGTTTACCTTAATAAACAAACATAAACGAACGCTTACCAAACACGAACACAAATAATTTATCGAAAGCTCTGTAACACCCCAAACGTAGCTAACACCCCTAACCATACTAACATCGCACCTCTTTCATCTTTTTCATCGTTCACTGAAAAATGCAATGCCATGTACTATGCTCTAATTTTAGCAAAATCGTGTAAGAGGAAACACCTCTTTCATCTTTTTCATCGTTCACTGAAAAATGCAATACCACGTGCTATGCTCTAATTTTAGCAAAATCGTGTAAGAGGAAACACCTCTTTCATCTTTTTCATCGTTCACTGAAAAAATGCAATACCATGTGCTATGCTCCTCTAATTTTAGCAAAATCGTGTAAGAGGAAACAATGACAATATATACTATGACGGAAAAGGAAAAATCATGTTCTCATTTTTCAATTTGCATATGAAATATCAAAATTGGAAAAAAAAATGAAAAAATATCAAATAGGTCATTGAACTTATTACTTTTATATGAAATTAGACCATTGAACTTAAAAGTGTGCAATCAAATCATCAACATCAAACAAGAAAAACATGTACAATTAAGATATTTTTCTATTTTTTCCCGCTAGAATCTGATCATATTAGTTTATATGGTATATGTACTAAGAGTTAATATTTCCTTTGTCATACTAGTTAGGAGGAAATATTGAAATGTACGTTTTCAACTCAAATTGCAATAAAAGAAAACAAAAAATGTCTCAATTGCACACATTTTTCTTATTTGATGATTTGATTACACACTTTTTAAGTTTAATAATTTAACTGCACAAAAGTAATAAATTCAATGAACTATTTGACTTTTTTTCGTAAAATTATAAAGAAAAAAGATAACAAATTAAATTAATCAAAACATTTTCATATATATTAAATAAATTAATAAAACCTTAACAAAGTTAGTTTAACAGCACATGCTTTATAGACTAAAATTATAACTTTTTGAAAAGTTAAGAATACTTTGTAATAATAAAAATTTTATAAATCAGGACTAAAACAAACAGCGAAGAAAAAACCAATAGACTAAAGTTACGTCTCATAGTTTAATTTGTTTTTTTCTTACCCCAAAAGGCTGAATCCCCAACTCTAAGCGCCTCACACTCCAACCCAACGGAACATGTGAGATGATGTAAATCACGATAACTCAATGGCTTAGTAAGCAGGACCAAATGCCCGTGGGCATAATTTATTTTTTTCTTTCAAAAGGCTGAACCCCAACCATAAGGACCCCCACACCTCGGCCCAACAGAGCATTTGGGAGGATGTAAATCATAATTTGTTTTTTTTTTTGCATGTACACAGGAAGTGCATTGCCTGGCATTCCTCCACGTTTTCATGCCTACAGTTCTGTGTGGCTGCCACGTGTACATTCTGCTTCATCAACGGCCCGACAGGATAACATCAACCACCAAGCTACCTGATAAAACTATATACAAATAATACTCTCCTTAAATCTTTATCTATTATATATATATTCTTGTATTGTTGAAATCGATTCCCCCTATCTATAAGAATTACAGGAAATTAAAGTCTTTTTTTCTTTTTTAAATTTTGATTTTAGGTTCTGCATGCATATATGGATACCAGTCAAAGAAGCATTAGGGTTCTAATGTTTCCATGGCTAGCGCATGGTCACATATGCCCATTTCTGGTTTTAGCCCAGGCTCTCACCAAGAGGAACTTCTACATTTACATTTGTTCCACCCCCGTGAATCTGAGTTCGATCAAGAAAAGGGTCTCTGAAAAAGACGCCATTTCCATAAAGCTCGTGGAGCTTCAGCTGCCATCGCTGCCTGATCTTCCCCCTCACTACCACACCACCAATGGCCTCCCGCCCCACCTCATGCCCACTCTCAAGAAGGCCTTGGACATGTCGAAGCCGGGGTTTTTGAACCTTCTAGACACCTTGAAACCGGATTTGGTGGTGTATGACTTTCTCCAGCCATGGGTGCCGGCGATGGCCGCTGCGCAAAGTATTCCGGCGGTTTTGTTCCTCAGCCCCGGGGCGGCGGCGTGCTCTTACCTGTTTCATGTTGGCAGAGGACACCCTGCTGAAGAGTACCCCTTCCCGGAGTTGTATCTCCGGGACCATGAGTTTATCAGGAACAAACGGTTATTTGAGCCGCCGGAGCAGATAGATGGCGACGTTAGTGACACGGAGAGGATTGATGGGTGTTTAGATGGGTCGTCAAGCATCATCCTCATCAAAACTTTCAGACAGCTTGAGGGGAAGTACGTACTTGCTCAATGCTAAACTTATTTTTACTTTTGAATATTAACTGATTCTATTATAATTTTATATATCTGTTTAATTATAACTATTTGCTCAATATATCTGTTCATGATTATTCTCTCAATATCTCAATATATCTGTTCATGACTACTCTCTCAATCTACTGAAGCATATAACTATTTGCTCAATATAATGTGTTCATGACTACTCTCTTAGCATCAATCTACTGAAACATAAAGAGTCAATATTACATTATTACATGATGAAAATAGTAATATTACATGATGAAAATATTTGATCTTTGTTTGTTATATCATGCAAGTAAAAGCTAGGGTAGAATTTGGTTAACTCAAACAAAAATATATAAAATAGGACAAAGAGACTATATGATTGTACTTTGTTTGTAACTGTAATCTGACAGGTATATTGATCAGCTAAGCAATTTGGTGAAAAAACGTTGTGTACCAGTGGGCCCACTAGTGAGATCTCTGGTGGCGGACGGCGAGAATCCGGAGATCAAAGAGTGGCTCGACATGAAGCCGCGATGCTCCACGGTGTTCGTCTCGTTCGGGAGCGAGTATTTCTTGACGGAGGAGGAGATGGAGGAGGTGGCTCTAGGGTTAGAGCTAAGCAAGGTGAACTTCCTATGGGTGATTAGGTTTCCGGCGGCCGAGGCCGGGGAAAAAGCTAGGGCTATTGGGGACGCCCTGCCGGAGGGGTATCTGGAGAGAGTGGGGAAGCGGGGGAAAGTGGTGGAGGGATGGGCCCCGCAAGGGATGATTCTAGAACATTCGAGTATCGGCGGATTCGTGAGCCACTGCGGGTGGAGCTCAGTGATGGAGGCGCTGAAATTCGGCGTCCCGATAATCGCGATGCCGATGCAGCTAGACCAGCCGCTGAACGCGAGGGTGGTGGCGGCGGCGGGGGTAGGGGAGGAAGTGGTGAGGGACGGGGAGGGGAGGGTGGAGAGAGAGGAGGTGGCGAGGGTGGTGAGGGAAGTGGTGGCGGAGAAGAGCGGGCAGCGGTTGCGGCGGAGGGCGAGGGAGTTCAGTGAGAAGATAATGAGCGAGAGAGGGGAGGAAGAGATGGATGAGGCGGTGCAGGAGTTGACAACGCTTTGTCAGACGAAGACGTTTAGACAAGACTCCGCCGACGTCAACTACATACGGTTTAGTCTTGGTGGCTGAGACTAAGACTAAATGATAGCTAAAAATAATATGGCAAGCCTTACTGTTTCTATTTTCTTTTTGCCCACCTTGTTTATATTTTGTTATGCAGATGAATAAGTTGAATTTGAATTAATTTTTACAAATTGAGTTGAATTTGAATTAATTGTTTATGACTAAAGTATAACTAAGACTGCCCGATGATGGGTATAAAGTGACTCACTCAAATGAAATGTCAGTGGTTCATAGAAATAATATTGAGTTTTTACCTTTCAATAACTTAAAAAGATAATTATGAACAATTACGGCTCTTTATTTTTCAATAGATTGAAAAAATTAATTATGAACAAATACTGCATTGGATAGTTATGAGTAGTTATGAACAGATCTGAATTGGACAGAGTCAGTTTGTACTAAAAAAATATAACTAAGACAAAAGGGGTTCTAGTTTCATCTACTCCCAGAACTATTGCAAATCAAAAACTAGAACAGCTGCAACTCTTATGACAAAAAAGGGGTTCTAGTTTCCAAAATATCGGCGGAAAATAAGTGGGGCTTTGTAGAATTTCATGTTTGATTCTCGATCTCCTCATAGCCATCTGGCATATTTTGCATTAAGCTTAAGAGAGTTGATGCTTTGAGGTATAAACAGGAGCATCCACAAAATCATGAATCTCTTTCTTGCTCTTGATCAAACATCTTGAACTCGTATCTTTATCGACTTCATCCAAGTCTTCAGCTATACCCATGTATCCGCACAGTACAAGCTCGTTAAGTTTGTCTGCCCCCTCACTTCCTTCTTGATGTTTACTGTTTCGGTCCTTATCACAAGCCTGATTAAACTCTTTTCTTCCATGCCCTTTCTTTATAAAGTACTCGTGGAGCTTCTCTGCATCTTTTAAGCCGGGAAAGGTGGCCAAGAATTTGATCACCACTACGCTACCATTTGCAGGCTTCCCAAGACAAACCTTGATTTTACTAACACTAAAACCTTCACCTGTCAATATACAGCAGCAAGAAACGACAAGAAGAATTGTTTTGTCAAACACAAGTATTACATGGATCGGTGTGCAAAATCTCTTTGATAGCCATTATGTCAACCAACCATCATCATTTTCAAATCTCATGTTTATGGGGTTGGCTCTGATACTAAGTTGAATAATGTAGAAGAATGAAAGGATTCATTGTATTGTCTCTTAAGAGCTCTACAGGTATCAACTATTTATACAGGAATGAGCTATAACCTAATTGGCCCATTCCTAACAGGCCTAGTGTTTCAACATGATAGTAGGGGAAAAAGATGCAGAGTAACATGGAAAGATTAAATGAAGCATATAGAATTGAAGATGTCAAATGTTCAAGTGATATATACGTACCCCTTAGAAGATCCTCAATCTTTCTTAGAGTTTTGACTTGTTGCTCTTGTGGACCATAGCTTGACTTGGTACAGTTGTGAACAATGACAGTTGGTGGCCAAAGTATAAGGTCTTCTCTCTGGGCTGAAGCATTGGATCTGAAAATGGGCTCTGGTAGCCATGCTGTAACATTCGGGCCCACAACAGTATTCCACCCCATCAGGACACAAACTGCCTTGAGAAGACCCAAGTGTTTAGCTTTCAAGTCAAGCTTTTGTGTCATAAAGCAATGTGCCCCTAAGGATTGAGCATCCCTGAATTGCCTTGATTGGGTGAAAGAACATATGCACTTTAGGGTTCACATAAACCAAGAGAAATAGCTTGCATGGGTTCTAATGTTCTATAGATGATAAAAATTACAAGAAGATTGAAAGCTAACACTAATAAATAAGATGTATGGTAGTGCCAAACAGTACCTTTCTTCTCAAATCTTCGTTCTATTTGTAATAATTTTCCATTGTTGACTATTTATAACAATTATGACGAGGCGTTAGAGAATATATAATTCTCCTAAAAGGTTTCTCTTCGAACTTCTTAAACATACCGTATAATAGTGATCAAACAATTAGATGTTCAGTTGATAAGGCACCATTCATCTAATTTAGTAAGGCAACTCCAAGAGAAAATAATAATGTAGTAATGTGAACCTTTTTAATAGTGAAAATCAGACAACTCACCTCAAGAAGCAAACAATTATGAAAGCCAAAAATGCCATAAAGTTGAATTGTTAAATGAATATTTTGGAATAATATTCAAACTACTTGTTCTATTATGAAAAATATCAGTAATACATTGAGGAGACATACCTTTTCCCACAGACAAGACAGATTAAGCCTCCAGCCCTTCCCTTCTCCTTATAGCTTTTTCGAGTAGGCAGATCTTCATTCACTTTTTTGGTGAAAATTAAGAAAAACTTCTGTACCTGTAGATCAAACTTATTGGGACCCTCAGGTAACACTGATTTCGCAGAATCCACCAAGGTGCTTTTTGATTCCTTAACTTTATTTTCATGCACTTCTATTTGTTTATCAATGTTTCCCCTTACCCAAACATTCTTAGGGAGGGACTTTTTCGTATTATGTTGGCTCATATTATGCCAGCTGAGTGAACTGGGTTCTTGATGAACTTTTTGCTTTTTGCAGGGTTCATTTTGATTGATAAGCAGTTTTTGCCCCTGTTCCATAGGATTATGAGATGACAGAAAGTTATGAGATGCAGTGACTGGATTGAATTTTTCCTTCTCATATACCTTACAAACCTTTCTACATTGCTCAATGCCATGCTCCAATAAAGGAGCTGCATCTTGATCCTTCTGGTCCTGAACTCCAGATACATCACTTGTTCCCTTCATAGTAGTCAATTTCCTTGGCATGATCCCATTAGAATTATGCATGATCATTTCATTATCCAAACTATACTTCCTCTTCAACGACCTAGCCAACTCATTTTTCGTGCAATGCACACATGATTCCATTTTCTCTGTTCCCACCCCATGTCCAAGTATTTCCATCTGGCTTTCACCTCCCGGTGATTTTCTCCACTTTTCAAAATAGATGTTGGAAGCAGCAGCATTATCACTGCCAGGGTTCAATATTCCTCGTGAGATGCAGAGACATGGCATCTCTCTTTCTCTAAAATTTTGCTTCTCACCATAAGTTTCTCTGGAATCCCGATAAAAATTATCTTGACGAAGTATAGCAGGGGACGTGCTAGAAGGAAGATACTCCAGAGCAGTTTGTGAAGAGTGATGATCCAAGGAACTGCAGCCAATCAGATTTCTTTGAGAAATATCAATCTTTTCCTTATCAATCTTTGGTGGTATCTCTCTTTCTCTAAAATTCTGCTTCTCAGCATAAGTTTCTCTGGAATCCCGATAAAAATCATCTTGACGAAGTATAGCAGGGGAAGTGCTAGAAGGAAGATACTCCAGAGCAGTTTGTGAAGAGTGATCCAAGGAACTGCAGCCAATCAGATTTCTTTGAGAAATATCAATATTTTCCTTAGCTGCACCCAAAGCTCTTGATGGATTGACATTTAGTTGGTGGAAATTCCTCCTGTTTAACCCCTCGGACAAGTAACCATGATTATAATCTTCTTCAGGCCAAGTTTTGGGATACATGTATCCCTGATCATTGGTCCTGCTGGCACTGCATCTATCATGATAGTAGCTCCTTACATCCTCTTGTCTTCCAGCACGAAAAATGAACGCCTCTCTGTGTTCATTTAAAAAGAACTGATTTCCAAATTTTGCTGAGGTCAAAGGATGAATATCTTTCTGCATAGCCATATCATCTTTGAATGATGGGGGGTAATCTCCCCTAGATATTCTAGTAGCATTGCCCTTGATGTGACAAGTGCATACCAAATCCTTAGGCTGAGATGTATACTCAACAGGGTATGAAATATTTTTTGAATGAAACTCAAGTCTTTCCCCTCGACCATACATTTCTTCCATGGCTGTCAATTTGTCCAGAAGATGAGGGTCTGGATAATGAGCTCCCTTAACCTCAAGTCTATCCAAGCCAAGAAGCTTTGAATCTGATGGCAAACTCCTTTCACCTTCAACATACTTTGACTTCAATTCTGAATCCAAACCCAGTGTCAATCCTCCCCTGCCCGACTCCTCTTGCAAAGCCATTGATTTTTGTCTAAATATTTCATGCTCAGTGGCCCTCAAGAGTCTCTCTGTCTCAACACAGTCATGCCTAGCAGCTCCTTTGCCAATATTTTCATATTCATACCTCAAACCAATACTCTTAGCATCAGTTCCAACCACATTATCACAGAGCTCATACGTTTTCATCTCATGGTAATCAGGCCTCTTGTCCACAGGCCAAACCAGTCCCTGCAATCTCTCATCTCGATCCAGCCACCCATATCTCCCCTTATCCAGTGACACCAGTGTCCCTTCTTTTTCCTCTCTCTTAGGACTCAAACTCCTAAAGTAACATGATGATCGCTCCACTACGCCAAGGCGATGCATCAAATAGGGGTCTGAACTCAAGTCAATTCCATGGTCCTTTAACCTCGCGGCCACTGACGATTCTGGTACAAAATCATCATCCCCTTGACGTGGCATTTTTTTTGTTTCGTTTTGCCCTTTTCACTCTCCCAGATTTGTTTCAGCTCTACCCACTCATCAACCTCGCTCCGATAAACCTAAACATAGAAAACTTGCATTCAAACTCAGTACGCCATGGCTTTTAAACAATAAAGGAAAACTGAAAACCGTATATGCATGACGCCGCTATACACATATACTCAAATATACGTACATACAAGTGCGTGTGTGCATCCATCAGAAAGGCATAACCCTAACCCTAGAGAGATTTGAAAGCGAGTGAAGAGTGACCTGTCGAAGAAAACGCGAGGATTTGAAAAGAGAATTCTCTACGAAAATTCTGAAGCTTTAGCGAGCCCTTGAGCTTCTGCAAGTGCGGGTTTGCGCTAGCGTGCGTATTTTAGATGGTTTTACGGATTGAGTTTGAATGGTTTTGTGGTATATCGCTGAGTTACTGCGCAATGGCTGTCTGCCTTCTTAGCCGCCTAGTAGCCCGCCTTGCGTGGTGTTCTTTCAGTTTCGCTCATCTTCCGTTCTTCAATACAATTTTCGCTGAATGATACAATAAAGTCTTTTAAAACGAAAAATAATAATGCAATTATATTCCAATATTACCTACTCCGTATTTAGTAAGGTATGATAACATGACTGTGATCAAGTTAACACGTGACATTTATTACTTATTACATGTATAATTTCTTAAAACATATTTATTGTTTATTACCTATCTCATTTTCAAAACATATTTATTACTTATATTATATTGAAAAAAAATGACATTTTTTCTTCCTGAATTATTTACTTATAGCTGTTATACAAAAATTAGGGAGAAGGAATAGACAGAGAAGAAAGAGGAAGATCAGCACATTTCTCATTCATCATTAGAATCAATATACAAAGGTATCACATCAAATATAAGGCAATAACTATACATATAAAAGGTAGTAACCTATCAATTACAACTACTACCATATATACAATAATGTCCATAATAATAATATTTGTAACACTCCCCCTTGGACATTATTTGACATGATCCTGCCTCTTCAAAACTTGCTAGGAAAACCCTGTGGGAAAAACCTAGACAAAAAGTATAAATGTATATATTCATGCCTCGTTAAAAACTTCACTAGGAAAACCTCGTGGGAAAAAACCTAGTTGAAGAAAAGAGTACATGATATTTGTAAGAACATATATTGTACTGATTGCCTCGTTAAAAACCTTAACTTAAAAAAACCCTATGGGAAAAACTTAGTTAAGGGAAAAAGAGTACAACCAAAACCTTCAGGGCACAATCGACATAATCTTCAGGATTTTTGGGGTTTGTCTACTTAAGCAATTATTTTGCAACTTTTCCCCATTTACATTACTATATCATACTCATGTCTCGTTAAAAACCTCACTAAAAAACCCAGTGGGAAAAATTAGTTGAGGAAAAGAGTGCATGATGTATGCGTATTCTTGTTTTAGATTAGCTGCCTCATTAAAAACTTTAGATTTAAGATAAAACCCCGTAGGGAAAACTTAACTAAGGAAACGAGTACATCTGTTAGTCTTCAAGACCCAATCTTCAGGATTGATTCATGCAAAATGATACTCCCCCTCAAGATAACAATCTTTAAGTCCCATACATTAAATTTCCAAACTGTACGGGTATAGAGGGATTTTGTAAATAAATATATACAACTGTCATTTGAATAAATATACTCTATAATAATCTTGTGACTCTTCTGGAGTTCACGTGGTATAATATTAATATCATAGTATCTAGTCAAAAGGATTTCATTATATATCCTTTTATTGACCCTCTATGGGACAATGAGGTAAAAATAGTACAACCAATTTTGGAACCTGGCATTATGGAGTTACAAAAGTAATAGCCAGTACCCAAGTAGCCATTATATATTTGTTTGTCTAAGTATCCAATCAAAATCATATATCATATACTGACTAACTGGTGTATAAAATTTCTTCAAGGAAAAACTCTATCTTCTGGAGTTGAGATAATACTTGGCTTTCTCAAGCTTTTGTTTCAAAATCTCCGTCTTTAGATATGGGCTGACATCATCAAACCCTTTATATATTTCATTGATGTTTTCCACCATCAATATTGACTTAGAGAATAAATAATAAGTAAGTTCATTATCAACTCTTTATCGAGCACACAATGGTACATATTATTCCTTCAATGAGGATATTAACTCCATTCGTAACCCTTTAAAGAGTAAATATAATGACACTTAAATTCTCATTTCGGGAATTATAAATCCATCAGAGATTTCTCAAAATAAATATTAACTATTTTAGGTCCTATAAAGACCTTAATATTTTAATGTGCGATTTTCACTTTTTCTCATTTTGAGAACTTAAAATCCTTCGGGAACTCTTGAATTTAATATTAGTTGCATATCTAATTTATTATTCTGCCAATGATGTAGCGGAACTTAATGCCATTTATCGTGGGAAGATATGTTTGATTAAAATCAATCAAGGGTATCTGCGTGAACCCATAAGACTACAAACTCGCTTTATATCATATCACCTCATTATTCTTATTTCTCTTTCGTGCACACACCCACTTGTAACCTTCGGGGTTAACTCTCAATGGTGTATGGTTATAAAGAGAATTATTAATAATTAGCGAGTCGATCTATGCCTTAATTGCTCTTTTATACGTTAAATAAATAGTCATGGCACTTCCGGTGCATAACTCTGGATCCAGATTATCATATAATGAAGCAATTTGTACAGACTATTGTGTTGTCGACAACTATAATACTTTCATAAATCTCTCCCATATTTATAATTGTTTATGGCAATATTTAAGTCAACCAGATTCTAGACATTTCCCAGAACTTATTCAGTTCACATCTGGTTGTCCCGCATCCCTAGTATTATGTTTGTTTGGTGCACCTATAAATTGACTAGGGTTTTTCGTCATCTGGACGAACGTCTCCAAGACATAATTATTCAATGTATAACAAGAGTGACAATGTTTATTTACTAGATCTAGTATAATGATTCTTATCTCTTACACCGATAGATCTCCTACACTTCTGACATCAAGAAGTATCGATAGATATATTTGGTCCAAATTGGGGATGGTATATGGACCTAGTCACTCTTTTATGATCAGTATGATCAATAGATGTATTTGGCAGATTATTTGCTAATATCGCAAATATATCATCTTCTGAACTTTCAGTTCAGTCTAACTAGTACATGGATTAAATAATGAAGATATTTTTATTCTATGGAATTTCTTGGCATTCTATTAAATTTGAACTCTTATCTCCCCCTAATGCCGAGAAACAATCTTCATTAATTAAGTATGCAGTCAGCGTACCTAAGGATATGTATATTAGTCTCCTATCATGTGCTGTTGGCACATTAATTAATCAAGAGACTAAGGCTTTTTTGGCAGCCTTTTTAGAGGTATACGCTGAGGTGGTGATGTATTGAAATAGACTGCGCACTATAAATAATAACGCATATATGGAAATGTTTATTTTGAAACCATGTACTAGGTATAACAATCCTTGAGGGATTGGTTTGTGATATGCAGTGAGTTAGATTTGGATTTCAAACAAAAGTATATCCCCAAAACATATAATTCAATATTTCTCCTTCACACATGCTCTATAAAATACTCATGTGGATAAGAAATTATAATCTCTAACTCATTATGTTTACCCAAAACGACCCAATCGCTCATGCCATAATTTAAAAAATGGGCCTTTAAAATTTTAAAAAATCGCAAAATATAAATACTCAAAGGTATATGCAATCATATATGTCCAAATAGAGAGAACATACATATTAATTAAATGAAAAAAATACGAGTACGCAACCATCTTAGGGGGTGAAGAGCCAAAAGAAGTCTAAATAGTGAGACCATTCAGGATCTCTAAAAACATGTTCTCAACTTATGAGGAGTGATCATTATGAAATATTTTACAACTAATTTGCTTCAGGCAAATTATCATGACATAATTTATTTCCAGCTTTCAAACACATAGCGTTTTAAATAACTATATCATGATCACTATGTGAAATGATCATAAAATATTTTGTACTGAATAGCATGACACTAATGATAGAGATTCAATACTTTTTCATGAGTCATTGTCAGTTCAAAAATCAATTCCATATAAGATCGTCCAGACTTTTATTAAAAAAATTCAATGACCAGGCACATTACTAAGTAGGAAAGGCTCGGAACTCATAAAGTACATTCCTACAAAAACTAAAATGTTGATGTCTCTTAAAAAAAAATCAATGACATTCAAAATACTTTTGTTTGTAAGGTTAAAAATAAAAGTTATATTAAATAGAGTAGTCAAATATATATCAGAGAGTATAGCACATAAGAATAAGCATCATGGCACGTATTAGTTAGGAAAACTAAATCGCATTATGAGATGATGACAAGATAAAACCTGGTGGGATTTGTAGTATTAACGGTTGTCAAAAATTTTGCAGCTTCGATTCTTTGATCTGCAATTGTTTGTACACGTACGTACATTTTGGGATCTCCTTTAACACGTACGTGGTTTTTGGATCGTTGCTAGTATGCATGCTTGACACGTCCAGTACAGTGGAGCAAACGTATAGTTGCATACCTAATATAAGAATTTTCATCGAATTGAATTGAAGATCATCAATGGAGGAGGGATTTGGTTAATCGGATCGGAAGATCATCAATGGAGCATCCGACTGGGAAATGGCGTCCGGTCATGTTCTTCCACGCCACCGCGAAAGCCGTGCTCATCAGCTTATTATTAGCGCTAATCTCAGGGCTCTTCTCTTCACAGGTCTCCTTGGTATCACTTGCGGCCCACGACCCAAACCTTTTATTATACGCATGAAGAGGATGGAATATAATCGAAACCATCACTATCTCGATCTGATGTTCTGATCGATCTTTTGCAAGTATCGGCAGGCCGGATTCTCCATTAACAACAGAAGTCTCCAGCCTTCTGGACGACAGGCAGCTTTCCTTGGCATCCACGGTCGAA